GTTGTCTTTCATGGCAGATCAATTCATCATCAAAAACTGAGCAGAGAACAGCAACAGTGCATGTAAACCTTTTCTCTCAATCTAGATTCCCAATCCTTCCCCTTTTTTGTCCTAACTCTTCATTGAACGTATTGCCTGTCTCTCTCTCTCTCTCTTTCTTTCGTCACATCTCAGTGAACTGGAGCAAACCTTTTTTATTCTCCTTCAGTTGGAGAAAACATACAAACACAAAACAACACTGATGCTTAGCCGGAAACATGGAACACGGCTCATGAAAAGAAAAACATAAAATATTCCATAAAATGAAGCGAAGGCTGCGCGCTATGGCTGCCCAATTAATCGTATTTTAATCGCGATTACGATTATGGCTTGCAACGATTACGAAAACAACAAATCGAAATAAAACGATTATTATTATTTATTTATTTTTCAGTTGAATTATACTTAAAGTTCAGGGTAATCAACTGTTAAAAACATACTGTTCAAATTTTTTTTCTCCAATAAATGGATGTTTTCAAACTCAATGAATAATCGCATTTAATAATCGCAATTACAATTATTGACCCAAATAATCGAGATTATGGTTTTTGGCATAATCGAGCAGCCCTACTGCACAGTTCAAGCAGTCGACTCGATCTATGATGCATAGACATGTCACATGCCTTACTCATACCACCAACCAAACACATTCTTCTAAATCTGGCGCTCTATTTAAGCTGCAAAATGTGCTATTTCTACCTCTCTATCTGTACAGCTTCCCTACATCTGCACTGCTTCTGCTTTTATGTTATAAGTCACCACTACTTAGTACTTAATGTAAAATATATGTGGGCAGTGATTAGACCGGAGTCGTGAAGCAAAACTCAAAATAAATCCTGCTGAATTTCAAACTCGAGTTGTCCAAGTCCACTGTGTCACTTTGTTAATATGGAACATATACTGGACATGTCCGTCTGTGTGAGCACAAATGTTCCATCTTCCCAGTAAATGCATGTGTGCGAGAATATGTGTTAGTGTGTGTCGGAGCCGTATGGGTATGTCTGCCTGTTTGTCCTCTCTGTGTGTGTGGGTGTGTGTGTGGGCGGCAGGCATGCCTTGATAAGGCCAAAGCCTGTTTCTAATCCAGGCCTCCTCAGTGGGCTGTGGATCTCGCTGCTGCAACACCAACAGAGTCCCAGCTGACAGCTAGCCTGCTCCTCTCTCTGCTTTCTGAAAAAAGCTCTGAGCTCAAATGTTTAACAATGGTTTGAGCAGGGAAATGTGATGAGAAATGCAAAGACACACTGATGCCAGAAAAGAGAGCAGGAGAACTTCCTCTTTTGAGATTATCCTAATTAAATAAATATGAATATAAAATCAAATCAAATGAAATGTCAGCCTGCAAAAAAGGAAACAAGAAGGGGCAGATAGTGATGGTGGATGCCAAGTGTGGGGGGGGGGGCTTTGGTAAAGGCTTTAGGATGAAATCAAAGTGGTTAAAGCTGATTTATCCCGTGTAAGGATGCCAAGCCCTCTAAGGAGGCGCTGAACAGCCCTTCAAAAATGAAATATCAGCAGCAGTCAGTGCCAGTCATCAGTGCCATATGTGATGGAAAATCAATCTATTTCATATCAGAGACCTGTGAGGAGAAAACGAGAGGGACAGGTCCCCGCTGCCTCCTCGCTGCACCTCTGTCAACGTCTCCGCAGCAGAAACATCCCAGAATGCTCTGCGTCATCGGTGACGGAGACGTTCGCGGTGCTCGTGGCTCAATGTGTGGCGGCTGCTGTTCTGCTAGATTAGGCAGGTGATTGGCCATTAATATTCATTTCACAGTGTGTCTTTGTTAGGCGGCAGCAGGGGCTGACTGAGTGTTGGGATGGATTTACTCTACCGTATATTTCCCTTTAATTTCTATAGGCAAGGTGGTTTACCCGTATGGCCTGAGTTGAGTTACCGAGTGGCCTGATGTGCTTTCATTTCTACTAGTTTGATTCTGATACGGTGAAAGCTATGAACATGTCCGGAGTCTACACAGTTTTGATTGAATATCAACTATTTTGCAATTTCTCATTGTTACTATTGGCTGATACTTCATTACTTCAGCCTGTCACGCCAGTGCTGAGAGGTAATCATTGTTATGTGCAATATACACTTTTCTGTATGTATTCATGTTATTATAATATAATAACATGAATACATTATAATTGGCCGCTACTTCAATATGTTCATTTGTTTACTTACTTCTTTAATGCTTTTTTTTTTTTAGGCTAAAATCCTAGAGTTCCCTCCAGAGGGAGTTTCTCTCTCTCTCCCACACTTCCTTTATATAGTGATATCACTATGTAAAACTCGCTCTTCTACTGGCTAAGCGCTCCAACACATCGTACGTGAGGCTAAGGGACGGGAAATCTCTGAGCAGTTGACCAATCAGAACAGAGCTGGCCAGCTAACCAATCAGAGCAGACTGGACCTTTTTGAACATTAAAGCATGGAGAGATGTCACAGTAGTTGGACATAGAAATATGAACTTGAAAATGAGCAAGATAGGGAATTGGTGAAAAATATGATATACTGTCTTCCAGTTTGATCAGTATAGACCAGCAGTTTAATATTGTACAGAAACCAGGGAAAGTACAGTGTTCTGGGCCTGTCTGGTCTTAATAACAGCAGAGAGTTGGTCCTGGAGGAGCGCAGGTCCAGCAGGCTTTAAACCAGTAACAGGTCTTTCCCTAATGGACAGCCAAGCTAGCGAGGTGATCTGAACAGTCCTCCTCATAATGAGATCAAGGGACTAATTAGTATGACTGTGTGCTGTGGTGTGACTGTGTGCACTGAGGAATAGATGCCCCCTATCGGACTAGCCGTGTGGCCCCTGAGAGAGCAGGCCAGCCTGGCTCTGTCCCCAGTGGCCATCCCTCCACTGCACTGAGAGGCTAATTAATATTTGCTCCATCCACTCCTCCAGCTCCTGTACACCATGCTGAGTTATATTCCTGAAGATATTGATCTGGGTTCCAGTGACAGCAGGCAAATAGCGACCAAAATAAAAAATATATATAATCTTGGCAATTCTCACAATGTGAAATAAGGAGAGCAATAATTACAGGGCCTGGCAATTTCAGACAGCTCGTGGAATAAAATTCCCTTTAATCTTTTACAGCAAATAAGAAGCTAAGTCTTGTAAAAGTAGGCCATGGAGGCGCATCAGCAGCACCGTCCATCAGCTGAAGACAGAACCAGATATGGAGAAAACCAAATTATCTTTGCCAAGGATGATCGCAGAAAGAATTCAAGCCAGCAAATTAGAGTTAGGATGAGAATACAAGATCAAAATGAAGATGAGATCCATTTACGAACATTCCCTCTCCCATCTTTCACTTCAGCCTCCTATCCTGTTAAAGTCATGCTTGTGTTTGATTGCCCCTGCGGCGCCACTCTGACCTGGTCATTTAAGATGATGTGCAACTCTCAGGTCTGTTCCAGCACTCATTTGTTCCTCAGTGGGGTCCCCACGGCCGGCCAGTAAGAGGACCCCATACGGACCAAAGTGCCATGGGAGCTTTAAACCCGGCCACTCACAACAAAGTAAAGAGACAGCTGAGTGTCATTGTTAATGTGGACACACAGCACCACAATGGCAAAATCAATGGAGCTATAGGGGACATCAATCTTAACAGCAGAAGACCCTTTTGCTTGTCTCACCACTCCCCTAAAGCTCCGAATGAATGGCCGAGAGAAGGAGGGACAATGAGGTGAACAGAAAGAAAGAGAGAAGGAAAGAAAGAGAACATGGAGGACTGACAGTGATCTTTCTTGGCCTTTCCTCCATCCATCTCAAGGGGTTACGCTGTCCTTTGAAGATTGTGTGCATTTGACAGGCAGCCAAGTGGCCAGCCATCCCAATTCATCCAAAAATGGCAGAGGTTTTTAGGTAAAGCCTCAGAAGTGCAGCGAGGCAGATGTACACTATGCACTTGGCCTCAGGCTTGCATTTTCTCTCCCTGCCTGTTTTTCACTTCCAAAATCTCTCTCTTCTTCCACAGGAAAAAAGAGAAAGACTTGAAACAACGCTCCTTTTAAACAAGAACAAAAAGGGACTTGCTTTCGTTACGGGGTGACACATTAGATGCACACCAAAAAAGAACAGCAAGGTTCATTGTTTCTGACAGTGACTTAAAGGGTGCCTCCTCATCCCATTAACATATATGCAGATAGGCAGGGAGTAAATGAAAGCCTCGGAAAACGGGAGAGATCAAAGACGACAGAATTAAGGCCAAGTAATGAGGATCTTGGCAAGAACCCTGCAAATGTATTGATTGTTTGGCAAGCTGTATGTGCTTTTGCTCTATTTTTCTGTCCCTCTATACCATTTACTCTTGTGTTTCAGCGGCACACAGATCTGCCAGAGTGGGTTTTTAACGGGGCCTTGCAGGGCTAAGGTTACTGCATTGAGCCTAATCACTGTGTAATTTACAATGCAAACAATAATGGCTACTTGGCATAGGGAACAAGAAAAGAGAGATGGACAGCGGGGAAATCCATCACAGCCTCGCGTACTTAAATAACACAGACTCTTAATTCAATTACATCCAGTACAAGGGCACTCACAGCATGAGACCGTGGGAGATTAATCCACTAACCTAAAGGATTTGTACCAGAAACAAATACTACATAACGCTACACAAAATATGAGGTGAGATTCCAGACCTTTCTACAAACTGACACTGGCAGTCAAACCAATGAAATATCTGTGTTTGATACGTTATGTGTTAAATATACATTCAGATGCAGTGTGGTTTAAAGTTTTCTGAAAGAGTGGTAGAACTGCTACCGTTATGTATGTAAGCGCAGCAACACGATAAAGGAATTGGGATAAGATAAAAACAGAGTGTTGGCTGAAGAAATATAGCATTGCGAGCAGTGGAACAGATCAGAGGGAAAGAATGAAAAGAATTAGCCTAGATAAGGCAGATGAAAAGGGGACATGAATAAATGATGGAGAAAAGAAGACAACTACCTCCACGGCTCTCGCTGTCAGCCGGTTTCACCTGGATGGGGCGAGTCATCTGGAGGAGAGAGAACAGAGAGGTTAGCGATGTTGTTGCTACAAGAAAAGGCCACAAAACAAGACGTGTCAAGACCTTCTCTCCCATACCAATGGCTGCCCTGCGACACTGATCAAAGCGCCTTAGCTGGAGGGAAAACAGAAGCACCGTCATGTGGCTAAGTTGACCTGACACCATAGTGTTTCTGCCGCCTGCTATTCAGTGTAAACAAAACAACTCTGTTCCCCATATCAAATAAGGAGTGTGTGTGTGTGTCTGAAAGTCCATTTGTATTTGTGGTATTTCGTGGCAGGTGCAGAGAGAAGGCTGCCGATGTGTGTCTAAGTGATAGAGGCCGAGGCAGTCCTACTAAAAGTGAATCCAGCCACAGGAGGAGCGAGATCAATGCAGGCCTATTGATCCGGCTCCTGGGCTGTGCGGAGTGTCTGCCTGGGAAGATTCTCTGGTTAGGAGGCTCACTCTAATCCACTGGACCCTGATAAGAATGGCATTGCTTGGATTAGATGCCTCTGTCATCACAGCCTTTGTGTCACGCTCTTCTCCTTCCCCAATTGTACCGCCTTCTTTTTCCATTATTGTTGTTCAAGCCGAACAATTTCACCAGATAGGAAGGAGTTTGAGAGACCTAGCTGTGATTTACAATATGTTTGTTACAGCTTTAATTTAACACATGCCTCCTAGTCACATATTTAGCATGCATATGGTTTAAAAACCCGCCCACACACACAGCACATATAATATGTATATATACTGTAGCGGAGCATAGAGCTGGCAATATCATTTATGTGATTTATGTGCGTTGATTTGATGCCAGTGCCCTTTCTTCTATGATTCAGTCCAAAACAAATAGATTTAACAATAAAAAAAACACATATCGTAATAAAATGGGAGGAAGGAACATAAAAGTAACCTCTTACCACACTCAACCTTTTGCAGTAAATAATTTGTAGCTGCTATTTAAGCATCTTTTTACAGCTTGAAACCGTTACGAGGCATCCGATTCGGATCGATGGAAAAGCACTGTTTTTATTCCTACATTTGTATATATTTCCTTCTTTTTCCTGTCATGTATCTTTTTGCTGTTCGATACCAGAGTCGGACTGTAAAGGTCAGATTTAAAGACAGGGCAGTCCAATAAACGCATGACATGTTCAAGGAGAAACACCATAATGGGATTTTAAAACGTCTTAATAACATGCTGATATATGGGGGAGAGGCCCATGCCCGATTCATTAAGTGCTAAACGTATCCTTTGTGACCTTGAAGAACTGACTAACCTTCCCTCAATGAAATTATTCCATAAATGTACCCGTCGTAAATAATAACTAGCAGTGGCTAAGTCTTTGTCGGAAAACAGGAAGGATGCTACGCTTGTGAAGGTTGACGCTTCCGCTTCTTGGTTCGTCCTCCTCCCTCTCCATCTACAAGTGCCTTCTTCCTTGTAAAACACGAGCAAAGTAACCCTACAGTATGCTGATGCCAAGCCACAGGGCGCCTGCTCCACAGCATGTACGGATAGATTACAGAATCAACCGCGACACCATCGCACATGTGTTCAAAACAACCTCTGAGACAGAAACAGCGCCGAATGTTTGGAAAGAAACATCCGCGAGACAAATTTGCAGATAACTTTGCATCACAGGAAATCTTTGAATTTGCCTTTGACATGTCAAACGGACAAAAGTTGCTTCCATCCTGCCAGTTGATTTCTATTCAAATGCGCGATGGAGGAGGCTAAATCTGCGGCTGTGACTCTTCTCCCATGCTAAGATATCAGCCGGCTCTGCAGGGTGCCTGCGCGTGGGAGTCAGCTCCCTTTAAAGCTAGTTACTGCTCAGCCTCCAACATGCCAGCTTAATGGCCTATTTATTTGCCCGAGAGCAATGCATTATGGTCCTGAACAGTCACTACTGATGCCTCTCAGTTTGTTCCATTCCTCCTGAAGACATATTAAGAGAATTGCGTAATTCCAGTTGAAATGAAGTTGCAAAGCACACTTTTACTTTATGCATGCTCACAGCACTGCACAGACATGGTCATTTAAAGTCAAATGTATCGAGTGCTGCTGTTGCCTAGGAGACCATTCATTAACTCTAGATACTGTGGGTCATGTTTTCACTCGGAGCTTCTCGACACACCCACAATGAACGGTCAATGCTGCTCCCTGTGCAAAACACAGAACGTTTGAATTGTAATGGTTATGATTCGGTGGTGGTGCGGACGTTCAGGTGAAGGGGGGGGGGTAACACCAGAAAACCAGAAGAAGAGAGATTGTGGAAAAAGACAACAAGAGATGGATAGAAGGGAAAGAGAGACACAGTCGAGTCAGAGAGAGAAAGAAAGCCGCCTGCAGCTCTTAGATAAGATTACTTTCCGTTTCTTCTTCTGACTCCACCCTCCTGCCCTTCACTTTGTCTCTCTCAAACACACACAGCACATCTACACTATACGATCACTAAATACGAACCAATCAACCTCCCTAAAATGTACTGTTTCAATTGTAAGTCCACCAAAAGGTGTGTTAAAAAAAAAAAAGATTTTAACTTGGGAGAGAAACTTTATAAATACCTTGATTTATTTAACAAGGTTTAGGAGACCAAACATCATATGACTTTCCCTGTGTTAATATAACAAAACGTCAATTTTTGCAAAACATAAATGATGGTTGTGTGCTCAATCCAGATTTGTTTCTTTTACTAACATTCGGTCTTTCTGAACATAATCAGTATTATTTGTATTTGACAACTGCTGAGGAAAACATAGCTGTGCTCTCAGAAAAAGACTTTGCTAAAATACAGGGTTTTGGATTTTATCACTAGGTATCCATTTTTTTTAACAATTGTTAAATGTGTTTTTTTTTTAGCATTGTCTGAAAATGACCATGCAGACAGGTGAGATCTATGTAAAGAAAACAATGTTAAGGTCGAGTACAGTGAACAAAGTGTGGTCATACTGTACAGTCGAAAGCCTCATTTGACAAGTCTGTGCTGACTTACAGTATGGTGCATTTAAGTGTCTGTGAGAGGCTTTAAATAATTGAGTGAGATAACATGTAAAAAGAAACGGGAAACGTGAACACGGGGGGAACCTTTCTGAGTATATAAGTGACATTTTCACATGTACGGTGCTTTCCATTAGGCTCAAAGGCCTGGTTAAAGTAAATGTAAGCTGAACGCTTTTGACTCATCTGAATAAACAAGCTCGTCTGATGACTCACAACAAAGCAGTGGCTTCACCTTTAAATGAGTAACATTTCTTCATCTCCCCCTCTAGCAGACAATCCTTTTCCTTGTCTCTCTCGCTCCACACTGTGCTGCTCTCAGGGCTTTGACGAATCTATAGGTCCATATGCTTTTATTTAGCCGAGTCATTTACCAAGTTAAGCCTTGAGTCTGTTGAATTAAAGCTCTTTGCAGTAGTATGCTGTTTTATATGGAGGGTGAGACATAAACCCCCAGGCCTAAAGTACACATTGTAGTGTGCAGTGGGCCTGGATTATACTGTACACACATTGTCTGTTGGTTTGCCTTTCTTTGCTGATTATTCAACTCAAACTAGTTACCAATTGATGCGCCTACATGTGAGTGACTAGTACTTTTCGGATGTGTAATTAAGTAGATCATTTGTTTATATGTAATTTAGAATCAGTAATATTTTTGTATATCAATTTGACACTGCTTAATTTTGTATTGTATAATAATTATCATGTTACATTTTTGTATTACACATTAGAAATAAATATAATCAAATCAAAATCAAAACTAGTCTTAGAAAGAAGGCAAATAACATCCTTTAAGAGACACATGATCCATTTACAGATTAGGGCTGTCCCGAATACTATTTTTCGGGCTCCGGATATTCGATAGTAATCGGCAGCGAATATTCGAGGCGGGGGGGCGTAGTAATCAGCAGCGGACCGCTTCAACACGTGTATTTCGGTGTATTCACGGCATTCATTTTGTTATTCTACACTACAGTATTGTTGTTTTATAGTTATTTGTTAATGTACCCCAAACAAAAACAAAAAACAAAGCGAATATCCGAATAACGAAATTGAAACCCCAATAGTACTCCAACGAACGAATATTCAGATATTCGGGTACAGCCCTATTAAAGATCCACTCTTCCTCTGATTGTATGATATGCCAGTATTCGTGCAAAGTTTGGCCTCGCTTGGAACTAAAGTCTTTCTACTGAAACTATTATTAGCCACAGAAAGGACCAAGGCCTTGGGCTGCGGCCACCAAAGGCATTCCACTGTCTGATTTTAAATGACACAGAGCAAGGAACTGTAGTCAGGACTCTGCCTGTTAGTAGTGTGGAGGATATAGAGTCCACTGTTGGCACTGACAGTAATGAGTTCATGACTAGCGGAGTTTAGCTGGATAGAAATGTACCGAGTCCCAGACTTCACTCGGCTGAGACCCCAGAGAGGTCCAGTAGCAAGGCAATAATACTGCTTTGGAAAGAGTTTCAATTCCAAGCCTCAATACTTTTATAGTCCTTAACTTTAACACAATTCAAAAAAAGCCGACCTGCACTACAGCCGAATGCAGTAAATAGGAATACAATTGCACTAAATCTTGTCCTAGTTTTGCAGAAGCTCTCAGTAGTAAAAGTCTTTTTACAGCAGTTATGGAACAGCACTTACTTACAGTGCTTGCAATAAAATAACTCTAATAGCCAAACAATATGTGTGATGTCTTCTGGCTTTCACTCAGGTTTAATATGGAGTAATGTTTGTCCTGGGATCATTAATACGTATTAGCGGGCCATCAAAGCTCATGTTGCTGCACTGCTCAGTAACAGGAGCATAAACAGCCCGCTTCTGACTGCGCCGTCTCTGCTGATATAATTAATATTTCCAATTATTGATCTAAAGGAGTGCTGAGTGGTGGCTGTCCGGGGGCCCCGGCTTCAGCTAATAAATCTGTACTGTATACAGTAGAGGAGAGAGAAGGAGAGAGGAGCAGAGAGAGAGCCGTGGGGTAATGATTTAT